GGAGAGGTGCAGCAGTCATAGGTGGTGTCACATTTGTTCAATGTGGAAGTAGGTCGTGCTCAAGAATTAGGCAAGCGAAGAATTCCTAAGTATTAAGATACCAAGAAGTTGCAGTGTCTGACAGGTTTGTAGATGAATGGTTCAGAGAACCGACATGTTGATAAATTAGACACATGTGCAACTCTTGGGTATCTTTATTCCACATTGAACAAATGTGACACCACCTATGACTGCTGCACCTCTCCTGCCATACGGTTTATAAGCTGCTTCTCCGCTCATATGCCGTATTCTATTCAAGATTGATGGACTGAACACATCGACTCAAGGTTGAGGGACTGATTACCTCATTCTCCTCCTGTTCTTCAAGTTTCTCCTATGTATGGACTGATGAAGCCACTGTGTGGCAAAACATTTCCTCAATAAAGATACCCAAGAGTTGCACACGTGTCTAATTTATCGACATGTTGGTTCTCTGAACCATTCATCTACAAATCCAAATGTACACCTGTTAACCGTTTTGGGGCCTAGTTCCTAGGCTTTTTGTGTATCCATATGCTCTTGCACTACTGTCCACAGGATGGATATGGGGTGCACAATAAACTAACCACCTTGGTAGCAAAATCTAAATCTTTGACACACCCTCTAAAATTTTCCACCAACTTTTGTAACTTCAAAGTTTCCCAAATGCACCATGACATCAGCAGAAAGCAACTGTGACAACTCCTACTCTTATTGACTTCATTATCTTTTAATCCCATACCTCTCCCCAACACCCTAAAATTCACATTTTTTACAACCCCATCTAGAAAGAGCAAAAAGGCACAATACTGTGACTGGAACATTACACAAATAACTTGCACATAGGAGAGAGGAGCTTATGATGACGTTTTGGTCCGACTTGGACCATTGACAAAGTCACACCATCTGTAAGTATGTTTAGCAACCATGGTGACATCATGTATTTCTGTCTAAGGCCTACTTTTATGGGAAAATAATCTCCCTCCTACATACCCTAACCTGAGCCTCACGATCCTCATAAAAACTTAACTGCTTTCAGTAACCTACCACCTATTCCATACATTTGCAACATCAGCCACATTGCTTCCCTCTCCACCCTATCATATGCCTTTTCTAAATCCATAAATGCAACATAATCTTCCTTACCCTTATCTAAATACTGTTCACTTTTATGCTTTAATGTAAACACTTGGTCTACACATCCCCTTCCTTTCCTAAAGCCTCCTTGTTCATCTGTGAACCTGCCCTCCATCTTACCCTTAATTTTTTCATCTCTACCATTCACTTTACCTGGTATATTCAACAGGCTTCTTCTTTCTTTCAACACATCGGCCGTATCCCACCGTGGCGGGGTGGCCCAAAAGGAAAAACGAAAGTTTCTCCTTTTTCATTTAGTAATATATACAGGAGAAGGGGTTACTAGCCCCTTGCTCCTGGCATTTTAGTTGCCTCTTACAACATGCATGGCTTATGGAGGAAGAATTCTGTTCCTCTTCCCCATGGAGGTAAGAGGAAATAAACAAGAACAAGAACTAGTAAGAAAATAGAGGAAAACCCAGAGGGGTGTGTATATACTATATGCTTGAACATGTATGTGTAATGTGACCTAAGTGTAAGTAGAAGTAGCAAGACATACCTGAAACCTTGCATGTTCATGAGACAGAAAACAAAAGACACCAGTAATCCTACCATCATGTAAAACAATTACAGGCTTCTGTTTTACACTCACTTGGCAGGACAGTAGTACCTCCCTGGGCGGTTGCACTCAACAGGCTTATTCCCCTATAATTCTTAAACTCTTTTGTCCCCTTTCTGACAGTCTCTAGGTATTTTTCGTTCTTTTATACATTTAACAAAACTACCAACCATTCTAAAACTTAATCCCCACCTGCTTTTTTAACATTTGTCTTGATCCCATCAGTCCCAGCTGCTTTACTCCCTTTCATATTTTCCACTTCCCCACACACCTCTTCCACACTATCATCTGGCTCTTCCTTTCTCCTGAAAGATGCTATACCTCCCTGTCCACTTAATGAGGAAATCACTACTTCCCTCTCTTCATCAACATTTGACAGCTGAAAATATTCCGTCCATAATTTACATGAAAGCAATATATTTTTATTCCATATCATCTTGAACACAGAGTGGAGGCACTCATTCACTTCTGTATGAAAATTGCCCTCTAATTAACCATTCTTCGCAGTAAGCAACTCTAGTGAATGTTTTCAGGGACAGTATTTCTACAAAGTATCTTGGAGAGGTTATAGTGTAGAAGATAACTCCTGGGAACCTTCGTCAAACTTGACCGGATGTGAAGACCTGCTCTTAGAATTTTATAAATCAAGATTAAAACAACAAGAAAGAACAAAAACTGATGAGTAAGTACATCCATAATAGGTAATTGAGCTTCAGCTTGCATGGGGAACATTGGGTTGGTTATTTCTTTCATTTCCTTTTATCCTAATGACTCTTTGATTATAGTTATATGTTGGTGTGCCTTGGAACCAAGGAAAAATCCATCGAATGGATGTGCATGCAGACTTGAACCTCAGAATCCCAGCTACCTCCATTTTCTTCAGTCTGCTTTTAAGTTTGTTATGGATGAGTTAATATTTAATGTGTATTTACAATTTCTTGGCAATAATGATGATATGGCAGAGGTAGGCAATAAAATTTTACTTTTATAGTAACTAATTTCTGATGACAGTTGAGAGGAAATGGCCCTAATTACATTTATTATTATTGAAATAATTGTTATTGTTATTATAAGAAGGCATCAGCTGTTTCCAACTTAGAAGATTTTAAAATTACTTTTTTTTCGAGTAAGATTCCCAGTGGGTACACCTAGAATATCTCCCTATCTACAAGAAGCGGGGTTACATTCTTAATTTATATTGTAAAAGCTTGCCATACAAAGTGAGGTTAAGTTCTGTATTACCAGTAGCTAGTTCACTACATATTTTACTCTGGTGATGGTCAGGCTTGGTTATAAGGGTAGAAGATACTTGTGTTTTACCTGTCACAGGTAAAACATGGGTATTCTTGTAGAACTTTATACATGATAGTTATTATCTTCCAGATCTATCACTTGGAGTTTTCAAGTACCCCTCTGCTTTTGAATGAAGGTCCTTGCCTCCATAGCTCTAGAGATCCTGTTTATTCCTCATCTTCCCATTTTTGGGCTGACAGAGACTACTCAGGACCCCTTCTGGGGCATTCCTGTCCTGTCTTTGCATTACCCAGGAAGATGTCCAGTTATTCTTCTAAGGGACCTTCACTTTTGTTAAGTTTAACCCTTTCACTGTTGAGACCCCTGCTCATAAACTTGCTCTCAGTGTCAAAGAATTTTCAAAAAAAAAAAAAAAAAAAGAATTCTCATGAAACTATAGAGAATCTTTTCCTGATGGTAATGATGCCAAAAGTACAAAATTTGATGGAAAACTTACAGAATTATGCTCTCGCGAAGTTAGCGGTCTCGATGATATATACGCATTGGCGATTTCGCCCACTTTGAGCCTTATTTTTGCCCAATTCCATTGTTCCAGTCAACCAAACTCATTGCTATTTCATTAGAACTCCATTTGTTCTGTCGATTGAGTACAAGAAACTGCCCATTTACTGAATTCAACTACCCAAGAAAGTGGTCAGAAATTGGTAATTTGGCCAATTTCACACAAATTTCTGAAGATGCCAATTTCAAAATAGGGTCTAGAATAAACAATGCAGACATTCATGGCAAAAAAAAAATAACATTTTCTCTGTTCATTAGTTACGTCTCCCTGCTCCTCGTATATTACTCTTGCTTTCCATTTTGAATTTTTATTCACACACAAAAAATAGAAGATTTACTGTTATTAATACAATTATTACAACAATGCGGTAGCATGACTCACGAAATCATAATGACACGATTGCAAACAAACCATACCAAACCCAAACCAGTGGCTAACGTGATGGTCTGGAGTTTGGAGACTCTTTGACCATGGGTTACAACCCCACCCATGGTATGGTTTGGTTTTTTATGCAGTAACATTATTGTAATAATTGTATAAATAATGTCAACCCATTCGTGACTACATATTAGACTGGCCAGTTGGACATGTATTGGACGGTGATGTCATTCGTTTACTCTTAAACATCAGCAAAAATTGAACATTTCTGCTATTTTGAACTCAGTTTCAAGGTACTTTTCATCATGAAACCAATCAAAATTATCTCTATTTTTGTAATGTATCTTCCATTCTGTCAAATGAGACCAAGATTCTGAGAATACAACCATAAATACCACACGAAAATACACCTCAGATTCATCATTTTAAACCAAAAATGCAGTCAGTTTTTTTCTCATTGTGCACTGTGCACACTGACCATGCGGATCCATTCTCTCACATGTAGGTCTACCAGCTTTCTCCCGCTTGATTTGAAGCCTCTAAAATTTTGGCGTATTAATACATCACCGACACTGGCTTGTAAGCCGTACTTATACATCACCGACGGTGAACGGGTTAAAGAATCCCCATGCCTTGATAGATAAGGCAAAGTAGTAGTAACACTTTAATTTGCTGTCTAACAAAATAAGGGAACATTTATGGACAAATCATCTTATAGCTTCTAGCAGTTAATTTTGAGGGTATTGGTAGAGCATCTATTCACTCAATACACTGCTGATTTTGGGTTCAATCAGTGTGTTGTGTGTGTGTGTGTGTGTTTTGTGTGTGTGTGTGTGTGTGTGTGTGTGTGTGTGTATGATGGAGTCTTACTTTTACTCATCCATTGAATGTGACTGTTACATGGGTTTTTACTAGTTCTGTTTTAATTAGTGGGACTACCTAAACCATGACTGATAAAAATAATTCTTGGTTATATTGAATTATCCAAGAAATGGAGCAAATCTTTAATTTTTTTGATGTATTCAAAACTTTGGACATGATTAACTGTGTGTAATATGGGAAAGGTCTGGGAACATGATTAATTAACAGAAAAAAAATTGCTTTAGTGGCTGGAATTGCCACAGTGTTTATTTTGGACTCAGTTTTTTAATTAGAATTAGTTGAATTTTGTGAAATATTGGCCAGATTACCATATTCTGGGCACTTTATAGGGTAACTCTAATAGTTGAATGAGCAATTTCTAGTGTTCAGAAGGCATACTAGTGAAACAGCTAAGACTTGGTTCAGTTTGAGCAATAGAATTGGCCTACAATAAGCCTCAAAGTGGGCAAAAATCACAGTTGTGTAAAATGCTCGCCAACCTCCAACTTTATGCATGTGTAATTCTGTAAGTTCTACCATTTTAGGAGAAATTTTTTTTTTAACTGGGACATTGATGGTACTTTCAATTTTTTTTTTTTTTTGGGGGGATGGGGGGGTCATAACAGTGAAGAGATCAAGGGTAAGATACCTTTAAGGTGAATGCAGATCTGCAGCTCTGGTAAGACTTTTAACATAGGCATCCAAAATTCATAGTCCACAACCACCTCTGAGCTAATAGACCATGTAATTTCTCAAGTATATAAACAAACTTTCCAGTACTCAGAAGTCAAAGACTTTGCACTTAGATTCAGCTGTAATTAATGTTGGGGTAATACAGTAGTCGAGTCTCTGTACCTGATTCTAGTTGCTATAAACATGAAAGACATGCTGTACATTGAGTATTGTACCATGTTTTAGTTTGCTTCTTAGCCAAAAAATAGTATTTTTAATGTTATAGTACAGAAGAGTTTTATCTTTTCAGTTTGAATTACCAAGTGATGCCACATGATGCCAATCACCAACATATTCTGCACAAAGCCCTGTTTTCACACATTAACAATCCTACCCAGAAAGACTATGAAAATAGTATAACACTCTTGGCCTCTCCAAAACCTCCTGTTCTGAAGTCCCAGAAAGAAATTGCTGAGCTGGCAGACAAAGCTCTGTCACAGAAGAAGGTGAGATAAATTATTAACACTGTTGCAATATATTGTTTGAAAATTATAAAAGGTATTTGCAGAACTATTCAGCTCACTTCTAATTACAGGAGGGCCCTGTTTTACATTGCTTCACTTTAAGACATTTCACTAATGCAGTGGTTTTCAATTATACAGTAGGGTCCCGTTTTACGGCGTTTCGCTTTACTGCTTTCCCCTAATACGGACATTTCAAATTATGACCAAAACTCGCTGTATGGCTCTCCCCACCGGACTTTCTAATACGGTCACCGTGCCCCACTCAGTTTGTTTACATTCTCTGTGAGCTCCGTAAGCACCACATCTCTCCATTATGTCTTTAAACTCAAATTTCAAGTGTTTTTAAAAGTTATTTTATATATATATATTTTTTTTTTCAACAAGTCGGACATCTCCCACTGAGGCAGGGTGACCCAAAAAGAAAGAAAATCCCCAAAAAGAAAATACTTTAATCATCATTCAACACTTTCACCACACTCGCACATTATCACTGTTTTTGCAGAGGTGCTCAGAATACAACAGTCTAGAAGCATACACATATAAAGATACACAACATATCCCTCCAAACTGCCAATATCCCAAACCCCTCGCCTGTGTACAACACCGAAATTCCACCAATCATCTCATGAAATTCAGGGACGCCCAATTAGTGATCAAAGAAACTAATTTCCGCAGACGCAAGTGCCTCGAATCAGCATTGATCGCTGTTTCGAATACAATTAAAGAAAACAACGGCAGCTTCACCATCTCTGAAGTCTTAGCAAGAATCCTCCTGAAAACAGTAAACCCTGCCATCACATAGTCTCTCCTGTTATACTACACAAAGCACATTACAGAGAGTGAACACTGAAACAAGCTGCCTCTTTCCAGTCTATATTTGTCCAACCTATTTTTATGTTACCCAAGTAATAGCTTTTATATCCTTTTACTCATGTACGAATTAATTGCTCTACCATATTGTATTACTTTTGTCACTACCACTACTACTACTACCACTACTAGTGAACATCGAAATGTTACCTCACTAGCATTGCACCTCACTCTGAGCCTTTATATACCCTGTGTCCATGTATTGTTTGTAATGGCTTGATAAAGCTCCTGGAGAGCGAAACGTTGCCACAATAAATGTCACATTAGTTGCACTTGTGTCCTTTTACTTTACATTTAGTAACTTACCACCTATTCCTTATACTTGTAACATCTGCCACATTGCTCCCCTATCCACTCATTCATATGCCTTTTCTAAATCCATAAATGCAATAAAAACTTCCCTACCTTTATATAAATACTGTTCACACATATATGCTTCAATGTAAACACTTGATCTACACATCCCCTACCCACTCTGACACCTCCTTTCTCATCCGCAATCCTACATTCTATCTTACCTCTAATTCTTTCATTTATAACCCTACTGTACACTTTTCCTGGTATACTCTCTTAACCCCCCCCCCTACTCATAGTTACACCAGCCCACCTTTCTGCCAGTAGTTGCTTATATCTCACCCGAACTTCCTCCTCCATTAGCTTATACACTTTCACCTCCCTCTTGCTTGTTGTTGCCATTTTCCTCTTTTCCCATCTACCTCTTACTCTAACTGTAGCTACAACTAAATAATGATCCGATATATCAGTTGCCCCTCTATAAACGTGTACATCCTGGAGCCTACCCATCAACCTTTTATCCACCAATACATAATCTAACAAACTACATTGGACCCCCGCATAACGATCACCTCCGAATGCGACCAATTGTGTAAGTGTGTTTGTACGTGTATGTTTGGGGGTCTGAAATGGAGTAATCTACTTCACAATATTCCTTATGGGAACAAATTCGGTCAGTACTGGCACCTGAACATACTTCTGGAGTGGAAAAATATCGTTAACCGGGGGTCCACTGTACTTTCATTACGTGCTATATCATACCTTGTATATTTATTTATCCTCTTCTTCATAAAGTATGTATTACTTATTACCAAACCTCTTTCTACACATAGCTCAATTAAAGGCTCCCCATTTTCATTTACCCCTGGCACCCAAAATTTACCTACAACTCCTTCCACAACATTTTTGCCCACTTTAGCATTGAAATCCCCAACCACCATTACTCTCACACTTGGTTCAAAACTCCCCATGCATTCACTCAACATTTCCCAAAATCTCTCTCTCTCTCCTCTACACTTCTCTCTTCTCCAGGTACATATATGCCTACTATAACCCACTTTTCACATCCAACCTTTATTTTACTCCACATAATTCTTGAATTAATATATTTATAGTCCTTCTTTTCCTGCCATAACTTATCCTTCAACATTATTGCTCCTAATTCTTTAGCTCTAACCCTATTTGAAACCCCTGATCTAATGGAGGAGACCTGGTCACAGACCGGGCCACGGGGGCGTTGACCCCCGGAACTCTCCAGGTAAACTCCAGGTAATCCCATTTATTCCTCTCCACTGAAACTCTCCCACCCCCTTCAGCTTTGTTTCACTTAAAGCCAGGACATCCAGCTTCTTCTCATTCATAACATCCACAATCATCTCTTTCTTATCATTTGCACAACATCCACGCACATTCAGACTTCACACTTTGACAGTTTTCTTCTTCTTATTCTTTTTAGTAATTATTACAGGAAAAGGGATTACTAGCCCATTGTTCCCGGCATTTTAGTTGACTTTTACAACGTGCATGGCTTACGGAGGAAAGATTCTTATTCCACTTCCCCATGGATATAAAAGGAAAAGCAATAAGACCAAGAACTATTAAGATAAAATCAAAGAAAACTGAGATGAGTGTGTATAAATAAACATGTACATGTATGTGTAGTGTGACCTAAGTGTAAGTAGAAGTAGCAAGACGTACCTGTAATCTTGCATATTCATGAGACAGACAAAAGACACCAGCAATCCTACCATCATGTAAAACAATTACAGGCTTTCATTTCACACTCACTTGGCAGGACAGTAGTAATCCCCTGGGTGGTTGCTGTCTACCAACCTACTACCTATAAAATACTGTGCAAAGTCACTGTTTTAAACCAAAAACACGGTCAGTTTTTTTTTTCTCATTACACACTGTGTGCTGCAGTATTTTTTATTTTATATATACTCTGATATTTATACTTATGAATACCTGTACTTAAATAAAATTACACACTGTGCTAGCATGCAGGTACACATTAAAATCAGTAAGAGTGTCTCATGTCTCGAGACGCCATATTAGTAATAATAATAATAATACTCGGTAATAATCACCGAGTCTCATTAAATGTTGTATATTATGTTAATATACACATTTTCATTAACCCTTTCAGGGTTTCCGACGTACTAACATGGGTTATGCACCAGGGTTATTGACATACTAGTACGCCTAAATTCTAGCACCTTCAAAACTAGCAAGAGAAAGCTGGTAGGCTTACATATGAAAGAATGGGTCTATGTGGTCAGTGTGCGCAGTATTAAAAAAATCCTGCAGGACAGTGCGTAATGAGAAAAAAAAAAAGACCGTATTTTTGGTTTAAAACAGCGCCTTTGCACTGTATTTTCGTATGGTATTTATGGTTGTATTCTAGTTTTCCTGGTCTCATTTTATAGAAAGGAAGACATATTACAGAAACTGAGATGATTTTAATTGGTTTCACAATGAAAAGTACCTTGAAATTGAGCTCAAGAGTAGCAGAAATGTTAAATTTTTGCCAAAGCTCAAAAGTAAACAAATCATGTCACGCGTCCGATACACGTCAACTGGTGAGGCTGAGTTTTTTTTCACAAGTGCGCTGATATTATTTATACTATTTCTACAATAATGCAGTAGTGTGCATAACAGTAAATCTTCTATTTTTTGTTAGAATAAAAATTCAAAGTGGAAAGCAAAAGAAATGTAAGAGGGGCCTGGGGACGTGACAAATGAACTGAGGAAATGTTACTTTAGTGCCAGGAATGTCTGTCTTGTTTATTCTGGGACGCTCTGGGATGCTTAAATGTGTGGGTGGGGTGGCCTGGTATGGTAGCCTAGCTGGCTACCATACATATCACA